CTCGACCTGAGACCGGCGAGAGAGCTCGCTGCCGGTCACAGCAGGACAATACCAACCTGGACAGACCTCCGACTCAGTCCCAGGCAGCCTCAAGTCTCCATCCAGCCCGAGGGAGAAGCGGCGGCGGTCAATCCCGAGCTTAATGTTCCAAACTATCTTTAAGCAGAACAGCCACCTGGACACCTAAGAGTTAAGGTGACGAAGCGCTGGCTCCTAGAGAGACAAAGGACATGGGAGAAAGGGGGGAATGGAAATGGTGTAGCCCCTGCCCCTTCCTGTTTGGGTTTGCCCCCCACCTCTTTTCCGGGGGGGGGGGGGGAAAGAGGGAAAAACGGAAAGAGAGACAAACTGGTGTTTTGCATGCCTCGTAGGAGAGACAGAGAGGTGAGTTGACAATGAGCGTTTTTTGCACAAGGGGTGGGGGGATGGATGCCAAAAGGAAGGGAAAGACACAGCAGGGGTAGAGCTGGCTGTGGAGAAATTAGATGGTGTCTTAAGAGTCTTTCACTTCGGTGGGAAGGTGACAGCGTTCCGTGCGCCTTGGTGTTTAGTCATGCCGGCCACATGACCAAGGAAACGTCTTCGGACAGCGCTGGCTCTTCGGCTTGGAAACGGAGATGAGCATCGCAACCCGAGTCGGACTCGACTTGCTTTCGAGCAAGGGAACCTTTACCTTTAAGAGTCTTTGGCAGAAGGAGCCCAAATTCTCTTGCTATATAAATTGGAGACCCAGAGTAGCAGGTGAGTTTCAGCTCAGCCAGCCTCTGAACCCGCCGCGGTCGCTGTGCGTTTATTGATTTAGTACATCATTTTTATCCTCCCAAGGAGCTCAGTGTGGGCTCATCTTGGACGGTGCGCCTGCATTTCTTCCTCACAACAGCCCTGTGAGGTAGGTCAGGCTGAGAGGCAGAGTGACTGACCCCAATGTGGGGACAGTGGGAATTTGAGCCTGGGACCAATTCCACACCAGTGTTCCCTCTAAGCTGAGTTAGTGTGAGCTAGCTCACAGTTTTTTAGCCTCCAGCTCACACATTTTTGTCTCAGCTCAGGAAGGAGGGCTCCAGAGCAAGCTCATTGATGCAGTAGCCAAATCACTTGCTCACCACTTTAATGCCAGTAGCTCACAAAGTAGAGTTTTTGCTCACAAGACTCCACAGCTTAGACGGAACATTGTTCCACACTGACATTTTTGTCACTCGTTTGTCGCTATTGCTTCAGGGGATCCCCCCCCCCCAAGTGTTTTGCTTTCACTGGTAGTCCCAGGGGGAGCAAAACACACGTGGGAAAGGGGGAGGGCCCCCCAAAGTAATAGGGAAAAACAAGTGAGAATCCAGTAGCATCTTAATGATTAGCAAAATTTGTGGTAGGGGATGGGCTTTTGTGAGTCACTGCTGACTGAATCTGATATCTGAAGGGTAAAATTAAAAACCGGAACCCTGGTTTAAGCCTGTATCTTTGCACAGTACGTGGGAAATAACAAAATCTCCTCCTTTGTATAGATGAAGCAGGCAGAGAGCTGCAAGAAGCTGGTTTAAAATATAGTAACAATAATAATTATAGGCTGCGATCACGCACACAATTAGCCGCGCCATAGGTGCGAATGCCGGGCGGATTTAACAGGCGTGAAGATCTGGCCAGCGCCCCGCACCCATCGGCAACCCGTTTTGCTCCTCTACAAGAGTGGAGTTAAAAAACACTAGGGAAAGTCCACTATCAAACGGGTTGCTATGGGTCACGGACAGACTTTCCCCTGTGTGATCGCGCCAGCGCGCTCTCATCCCGACCATCAGACCATCCCGACTCTGTGCCGTTCCCCCCCTTCCCAGTATGCGCATCATTGCATACTGCCATAGGTAGCCCTCAGTGTGGAGATGCGATTAATCGATCCCCTGTTTAAGTGCATCGGAAACACGCTGCAAACCCCCCCCCCTGCACCCGCTGTTTGCGTCTGATCACGCAGTGGTGGGCTGCCCCCGCAACTCTCACGGACTGTGTGATCGTGCAAATGCAGGTCAAATTGCTACAGAGCAAATAGCCTCGCTTCCCCCTCCCATGTTATCTCGCAGGTGTGACCGCAGCCATAGTATGGCATTGTGTGTAGAATAGCCAGGAGATCCTAAGATTGTTCTAGCTCTTTTAGTGTTATGCACCACTAGGTGGCGAGCTAGACTTGTTTTTAAGGCAAGAGACGTTTTGGAGGTGGTCTGCCATTGCCTGCCTCTGCATCACAGCCCTGGTATTTTTTGGAGGACGCCCATCCAAATACTAGCCAAGGCTGACCTTGCTTAGCTTCCAAGATCTGATGGGATCGGGGCTAAAATATGGTAACTTTAAAATATGGAATCATAGAGTTGGAAGGGATCTCCAGGGCCATCTAGTCCAGCCCCCTGCGCAATGCAAGAAATTCACAAATACCCCCCCACACACACACACACCAGGACTTCTGTGTGTGTGTGTGGGGGGATTGAAAAAGAGGTGCCAGAACTCTCGAGGGGAATGAAGTTTTTAATTTTGAGACTGTTACGGTAACACTCTTAACTGATAAACCACACTGGGTCTGAGCCTAGGTAAAGGTAAAGGTTCAAATCCGACTCTAGGGTTGCGGTGCTCATCTCCGTTTCAAAGCCAAAGAGCCAGCGCTGCCCGAAGACGTTTCCGTGGTCATGTGGCCGGCATGACTAAACACCGAGGCACACGGAACGCTGTTACCTTCCCACCAAAGTGGTACCTATTTATCTACTTGCAATTTCTTGCTTTCAAACTGCTAGGTTGGCAGGAGCTGGAACTAGAGACGGGAGCTCACTCTATCATGCGGCACCCGGGTCTCGAACTGCTGAACTACTGACCTTCCACAGCCTGCAGTTCAGCGTCTTAACCACTTGAGCCACCGCAGCTGAGCCTAGTAAACCTTAAATTAAAATGTGGTAACTTTAGGATTAGTAGCCTCAGAGCCAGTGTGGTTTATTGGTTAGAGTGTCACAGAAGGATCTGGGAGACCCAGGTTCGAATCCCCACTGTGTCCTGGAAGCTCACTTGGTGACCTTGGGCCAGCCACACATTTTCAGCCTAATATACCTCATAGGGTTGTTGTGAGGATTAAATGGAGGAGAGGAGAACTTGGGTCCTTACTGGGGAGAAAGGCCAGATATCAATGAAGTAAATCAATCAATAAGATGTTGTTTCAGATGAGCTGGCCAGGGAAGAAGAGGATGAGGGAAGAGAAGAAGAAGAAGAGATTGGATTTATACCCCGCCCTTCACTACCCAAAGGAGTCTCAGTGCGGCTTACAAACTCCTTCCCCTTCCCCTCCCCACAACAGACACCCTGTGAGGTAGGTGGGGCTGAGAGAGCTCTGACGGAAACTGCTCTTTTTCCAGAACAGCTCTTATCAGAACTACGGCTTGCCCAAGGCCATCCAGCCAGGTGCAAGTGGAGGAGTGGGGAATCAACCCCGGTTCTCCCAGATTAGAGTCCGCGCACTTAACCACTACACCAAACTTTGGGAGAAATCAAAATGTGTGCAATGCTTTCTTATCAAGCCTAACCTTATTTTAGTGCTTTAATTACACAAAATGTATCATTTCTGCTTTAGTAGATAAAATCTGGCATATTTATGAAATCCAGAAGTTTGAATGCCTCCATTTTCTACAAGTAAAACTACACAAACACCTAATAGTAAAGAAGGAAAGAGCTGCAAAATGGTGTGCCCTGTGTTCTTATTTATTATTTGCTTCACTTATATTCCATCTCCCTCCCCACTGGGAACCCAAAGTGGTTTGCGTGGTTCTCCTGTCCTCCATTTCATTCCCACAACAGCCCTGTGAGGTAGGTTAGGCTGAGAGTGTGTGCCTGGCCTGAGGTCACCCAGCAACGCTTCCCTGGCAGAATGTGGATTCAGACCTGGCGCTCCCGGGTCCTAGTCCGACATTCTAACCACTGCACCATGCTGGCTCCCAAGTTTTTGCCGTCTCAGACGCAGGAAAAAATAAAAAATTGAAAACAGAAGGCACAGATTTCTCTAGTGAAAAACAGTGAACAGAAACAGTGTCGTTCAGTGATAAGAGGGCTAGCTGCCCTTGAGAGAAGAGCTCTGGGAGAACGTGTGACTGACCCAAGGTCACACCAGCAGCTGCATGTGGAGGAGTGGGGAACCAAACCCGGTTCTCCCAGATTAGACTCTACACTCCTAACCACGACACCAAACTGTGTACACTACACATGACGGCTTATGTCCAGAAGTAAACTTTGTTGGTCTTAAAGGTGCCACTGGACTCAAGAACCAAACAAAGGTTAACCAACATTGCTGTCCACCTGAATCTATATGTTTATGAGTTCATGTTTTGTTTAATCCTTTTAAACATTTTGAATATATTTGTACCCAGGGCTCATTTCGTAGAACAAGAGGTGCAGGAGCTCATTAGCATAACTCATTAGCATGACTTATTTGCATATGCCACACCCCCTGACATCACCGGAAGTGTGTCAGGAGGCAACACCCACCACTCAGGCTCCACTGGACTGTTTTGGATTGCTAGCTATTGGGGGAGGGGTGGAACGTGCAGATCTGTCCTCGCAGAGGAGGGACAGCTTGTACCTGAATAAAACTTGGTCTTAAAGTTTTGGACCAGGGGGCCGGGGGGAGCTCTGCAACTTACCTGGCTGCTTCTTGCTCTGACTGAGGGCTGCTGGGAGCAAGGGGTGAGGCTTGTTGCATGTACCCGCCCCCTGGGCTCTTCACGACCGGAGCTCCGCTCCTGTGCGCTCCTGCAGGCAATGACCCATGATTGTACCTTAAATGCTTTTTAATGGCTGGAATGTTTCAATGCTTGAAATGTTTTAATATTCACTGCCTGAGGGACTCTGAATTGAGGAGGAAGGGAGCACAGAAATGTTTGAAATAAAATAAATAACTTGTACCTGTTACCATTCACAGGATGTAAGATCCCCCCCCCCCTTGTTCAGAGGCTGGACACTGCTGTAAAACGTGGCTGTAAAGAGAAGGCATGCAGGAGAATTCCAGGAATGTGGCGTCTCTGGGTAAGGATCGATTTCCCCCTCTGTTGTGAATGAATAAAGTACAGTGCTTCATCGTGCCAAATTAACAATACTCTGACTTAGCGTTTACTTAGCATTCCTTGTTTAGATGAGCTAGATTGGAGTCCCGTGGCACCTTAGAGACCAAAATGATTTTCAGGGTATAAGCTTTCAGGAGTCGAAACTCCCTCTGTCACCTGATGAAGGGAGTTTTGACTCTAGAAAGCTCATACCCCCCAAAGTCTTGTTGATCCCTCAGGTGGAACTGGACTTGAATCCAGCTCATCTACTGCAGACCAGCGTGTCTATGCTCTGAAGCTATCTTGTTAGGTCAATCGATTTAAACATTCTGTTTGACGGAAAATTGGGTCGCAGACTCCAAAAAAGTTCGAGTGTCATTTATCTATTTAAACATTTTTATGCCATCTTTCCACCTGATCAAGATCCCCTGATGAAAACTGGCAGATGTGAAACGTTTTAGGAGGAACATTCCCTCTTGCATAAGAGAGGAGAATGCTTCTTCTGAATACATCTATTAACATCAGGTGGCAGAGACCACCTTAGAAGAGGCATTCCTTCCAGCAAGAGGGGAATGCTTCTTTTAGGCATTCAGAAAACTGCCGGCGGCGGATGTCCTCTTAGAAAGGGATGGTTCCTCCGCATTAGGAAAGCTGTAGATAACCAAAATAATAAATAAATGAATAAATAAGATGGAAAGCACCATCTTAGACGAGGCATTCTCCCATCCTATCTGTGAGAGAAGAGGGGATCTGTGAGAGAGGATGAGAGAAGAGAGCCAGTTTGGTGTAGTGGTTAAGTGTGCGGACTCTAATCTGGGAGAACCGGGTTTGATTCCCCACTCCTCCACTTGCACCTGCTGATGTGACCTTGGGTCAGTCACAAGCTCTGTCAGAGCTGTCCTTGAAAAAGAGCAGTTTGTGTCAGAGCTCTCTCAGCCCCACCCACCTCACAGGGTGTCTGTTGTGGGGAGGGGAAGGGAAAGGAGTTTGTAAGCCACTCTGAGACACCTTTGGGTAGTGAAGGGCGGGGTATAAATCCAATCTCTTCTTCTTCTTCTGCATGCCAAAGAGCTGCTGCTGTGAAACATCTTCATCATCTGAACACAGAGCAGAGTTCCCCCCCCCCCAGAACTGTGATGTTTTCTTGAATGCAAATTTATGCAGTGTGGACAGTGGTTAAGAGTGTCAGGCTATTATCCAGGAGACCCAGGTTCAAATCCCCACTCATGCAATGGAACCTCGCTGGGTGACCTTGGGCCAGTCACGCATTCTCAGCCTAACCTACCTCTCAGGGTTGTCGTGAGGATAAAATGGAGGTGAGGAGAATGATTTAGGCCATGTTGGGTCCCCATTGGGGGGATGAAATGAATGAATTAAATAAATAATATCCAGACTTAAGCAGTGCATAACTCATGCTGTTACCCAAATCCTGTGTGGGATGGGATCACAACACTCAGTGCATCCTCATTTTCTGTTGGGCCAAACACGTGGCACCAGGGTACTTAACTAAACTGGGGCCAGACTGTCCAGTGTATACCACGGCCTGACTCGGAATAACACAAAGAAGAAAAGCAACTGACTGAAGGGAAGTCGAATAAGATGGGAAGCCGTGTTAGTTTGTCTGTAGCAGTTTAAAAGAGCAAGAGTCCAGTAGCTTCTTAAAGACTAACAACATTTGTGGCAGGGTGGGAGCTTTTGTGAGTCTTCAGTATTTGAAGAAGTGAGCAGTGACCGTAGGAAAACAAAGGGTTTTTACTTCCCTAACCAGAATACAGATCTAGGAAGTAACTGGAAGAAGCAGCAAGCAGTGGAATCACACCAAAAAATCTTCATAAGCCTACCTGCCTATGAGTTTCTGTCTGCTGGAGAGAGATTTGAGGGGGAAATAAACTAGCGGGGAAATGGAAAGGGCCAAAGAAAATTATACCACACCTGATCCTGGAGAAAGTGATGCCGGATCCAGAAAGAAGGGAGGTTATCTGGGGAGGTCCAGTCTGTAGTGGCAAAGATGCCAGAGGGGAAAAGAGGTCCAAGGCAGGCAGGCTCAGTAATTTCAGCAAGCGTAAGGGGCTGGGTGAACTGTAGGCCTAAGTAATCCAGAAACCAGCTTCAAAGGTTTGGGGACTCAAAGGTGGCTTTTATGCACCTTTACTTGAATTAAAGCTGCGGTGCTCAAGTGGTTAAGATGCTGAACTGCAGGCTGTGGAAGGTCGGTAGTTCAGCAGTTCAAGACCTGAGTGTGCCGCATGATGGAGTGAGCTCCCGTCTCTAGTTCCAGCTCCTGCCAACCTAGCAGTTCGAAAGCAAGAAATTGCAAGTAGATAAATAGGTACCACTTCAGTGGGAAGGTAACCGTGTTCTGTGCGCCTTGGTGTTTAGTCATGCCGGCCACATGACCACGGAAACGTCTTCGGACAGCGCTGGCTCTTCGGCTTTGAAATGGAGATGAGCACCGCAACCCTAGAGTCGGATTCGACTGGCTTTCGAGCAAGGGAACCTTTACCTTTACCTTTAATTGAATTATAAGGGGCATTGTCTCCGCTGAGATGGGACTGGGTTCAGGCTAGAAAATGTGAATCTTATTGGACGCTTTAAATTTTAGGGGTGTGGAAGGTAGAAAGAACTCCAAATATGGTCATTAGTTAACCATGATGCATAGGGGGAAAATATGGGGAAAATCAGCCTGGGGTGATGAGGTTACTTGTCCAGAATACCAGCTTAACAAAGGACTGGGCAGAGGATTGATGATTCTCCCAGGGCTCTTGATTGAGCTATGCGCGGGGGGGGGGGGGGGGGGGTATGGCCAACTTGAGACACTTGTTTATTACCCTGCATAGCTGCATCTTTTCTTATGAGTATGGGGCAGTTCTAGAGTCTGAATGAGTCCGTGATTAATATTTCTTTGAGCTTCAAAGGCAGGCAGGCTAGTTCTAGCTGGGAGTGCCCCGAGGCAACCTCTGCCTAGATATATGGACCTTGGTTTGGTATTAAACTTCATATAAGAACATAAGATGGGCCCTGCTGGATGAGACATGGGGTCCACCTAGTCCGGCATCCTGTCTCGCACACAGTGGCCACCCAGTCCTAACCACGACACCAAACTGTGTACACTACACATGACGGCTTATGTCCAGAAGTAAACTTTGTTGGTCTTAAAGGTGCCACTGGACTCAAGAACCAAACAAAGGTTAGTGAAAAGGAGAGCCAATATTAAAACCTTTCCTTAAAAAAAGGTACATGTATTTATTGATAATAACAAATTTTAAAACATATATAGGGGCCCAATTACAACCAATGTATATAAAACATAACAATATCAAGGCCTTAAAAAGTCGACCTTACGCGTTTCGGCCAAATAGGCCTTCCTCAGAGGTCATACATATGTGGCAAGATGGTTAATATGCACACTGCTTTTTACTTGTGAATACTGTGGGAACACAATCAAAGAAGGAAATTTTTGGACCATAAGTTTATTTTATAATCACTGGGCTAGTGATTGCACTTTAAAGGTCTTATGTGCATATTTATCCTGTGCCTGGTGATTTTACTTCTGAACAATTTACTTTATGGTCTTTATTGAATCTATACTTCGTATATATTTCTGATTGTGTTTATGTGAATATAATTATTAACCATGTTCCCCATTTGGGGGGGGGGTTGAAATGAATGAATTAAATAAATCATATCCAGACTTAAGGAGTGGATAACTCATGCTGTTACCCAAATCCTGTGTGGGATGGGATCACAACACTCATTTTCTGTTGGGCCAAACACGTGGCACCAGGGTACTTAACTAAACTGGTGCCAGACTGTCCGGTGTATACCACGGCCTGACTTGGAACAACAGACAGAAGAAAAGCAGCTGACTGAAGGGAAGTCGACCAAGATGGGAAGCCATGTTAGTTTGTCCGTAGCAGTTTAAAAGAGCAAGAATACAGTAGCTTCTTAAAGACTAACATTTGTGGCAGGGTGGGAGCTTTTGTGAGTCTTCAGTATTTGAAGGAAGTGAGCAGTGACTGAAGGGAAACAAAGGGTTTTTACTTCCCTAACCAGAATACAGATCTAGGAAGTAACTGGAAGAAGCAGCAAGCAGTGGAATCACACCAAAAAATCTTCATAAGCCTACCTGCCTATGAGTTTCTGTCTGCTGGAGAGAGATTTGAGGGGGAAATAAACTAGCGGGGAAATGGAAAGGGCCAAAGAAAATTATACCACACCTGATCCTGGAGAAAGTGATGCCGGATCCAGAAAAAAGGGAGGTTATCTGGGGAGGTCCAGTCTGTAGTGGCAAAGGCAGGCAGGCTAGTTCTAGCTGGGAGTGCCCTGAGGCAACCTCTGCCTAGATATATCGACCTTGGTTTGGTATTAAACTTTATATAGGAACATAAGAAGGGCCCTGCTGGATAAGACATGGGGTCCACCTAGTCCGGCATCCTGTCTCGCACACAGTGGCCACCCAGTTACTATGGAGGCCCAAGAACAGGACACAGAGGCCGAGGCCTTCCCTGATGTTGCCTCCTGGCACTGGGCAGAGAGGCTGAGGCTTTCCCCCGATGTTGTTGCCTGCTGGCATTGGGCACGGAGGCCGAGGCCTTCCCCTGATGTTGCCTCCTGGCCCTGGGAGTAGAGGCCGAGGCCTTCCCCTGATGTTGCCTCCTGGCCCTGGGAGTAGAGGCCGAGGCCTTCCCCTGATGATGCCTCCTGGCACTGGTCTTCAGAGGTTTACTGCTTCTGAATGTGGAAGTTCCCTTTAGTCACCATGACTAGTAGCCATTGATGGACCTCTCTTCCATAAGGATATTTTACCCAGGCCTCTGGCGCTCATGCCATAGAGGCTTCTAGAAAGGGAAAATATTAGGGGATCCCTGTGGGGAGCCAGTTCATTGGATATCAGCTCAATGACTAGGCTAAGATTTTCCTTCAGTTAGGCAACAGCCCTAGTAATATTGTATCAGTAAACTTTGCAACAACCGGTCAGTGGGGTTATTCTTACAACATAGATCGAGAGGCTGAAGTTGAGGGTGAAGAGACTAGCCTGGGATAATCTTGTGTGTTCCTGGCAGAGACTAAATTCGAACCAGGCACTTCTGGTTCACAGCTGCATCTCTAACTACAACACCGTGCTGCTTCAGTTAGCATTAAGTGTGTATCCTGCCTTCTGACAGTCTCTGAATAGCATACACGAATTGATTCAGTTTTCCCCCTCACCATGAGGGAATAGGCTACAAGATGGTGTCTGACCCTTTGCCCATCTAGTGAATTTTCATGGCTGAACAAAAGCTAGATTCAAGTCCAGGAGCACCTTAGAGAGCGACAAGACTTTCGGGGTATGAGCTTTTGAGAGTCAAAACTCCTTTTGTCCCTTTGAAGGTAGCCTTGGCTCTCAAAGCTCACACCCCCCAAACTCCTGTTGGTCTTGTAATGTATTCTATGTAATGCCAACTGAATACATGTGTGTATTGTGAACCTCCCCATTGAGAAGCTATGTTAAGCTTCGTCCTGGGCTAGGATGCAAATACAACCAATCGTATTGCTAGCCCAGGAAGCACTTAACCAATCACCATGCAGCAAGCTCCCTGAGTGGGAATTTTTCCCTCACAATGACCCTGTGGGAGCAGGCTACAAGATGGTGTCTGGCCCTTTGCCCATCTAGTGCATTTTCATGGCTGAACAAAAGCTAGATTCAAGTCCAGGAGCACCTTAGAGAGCGACAAGACTTTCGGGGTATGAGCTTTTGAGAGTCAAAAATAAAGTTGTGTTCTTGCTGAATCACTCTCTGACTGCTTTGTTAAGTGAGCGACTTAACAGGTCTCTTAGGCGCGACTGGAATCTGACTCTTCTTCTGCAGACCTACATGGCTGCCCTCTGAAACAATTTTCATGGCTAAACAAGGATTTGAAAATGAGTCTCTCTCTCCATTCCAAATCTGGTGTTTTAACACCAACTGTACAATTAACAACAACCAGGGCTTTTTTGGTAGAAAAAGCCCAGCAGGAACTCATTAGCATAATAGGCCACACCCTGACAGGGCAGCTCATTAGCCTATTAGGCCACACCCCCATGCCTTCCCTTGGCTTGCCTGGGTGCTCTGCGACTGCGGGGAGCCCAGGCAAGCCGGCCCTCGGACAGGCTGGAGAAGGCACAGGGAGGCATAAAAATGCCTCCCCGATCCTTCCAGGACCACCCCTGGCCCACCTGCCTCGGAGTCGCCAGCGGGGTCGCTCTCCAGGCCTTCCCTCTGTAGCCACGCACCCAGAGGTTTTGGCTGTAGTGGGCGTGGCCAACTCTGAAGCCAGCCGGAACTCCGTTCCTGTGCGTTCCTGCCCAAAAATAGCCCTGACAACAACACAATTGACTAGGAAAATAAGACTGTAGTCATTGCGGTTACACTGTGTTCTGTCTGCATCCTACGAGGTGACAGCATTGCAAATAAGATCAAAGGGGAGATCTCCAAAGAAGTGACCCCTGAGTCTGATGAACATGTGACTTGTTCAGATTTATTATTTATTTGTTTATTTATTGAGTGGCAGAATTACACACAGGAAGCATATAGAATACGTAACCAAGTTGGTACAATGGGTATAGAGACAGATTGAACAATCCCACTAAATACTACTATCTGAATTTTCAATCCACTCCCTTGCAGCTGGGGAGAGTAGGAAGAGCTCAGTCACATCTCCCTGGAAAGCACGATGCTCACATTCCTCTGACAAGGGAAAAATAGTTTAGCGGGCTCTACCACAATCGCATTTGGGTCTTGCTATTTTGCCCCATTTAAACAGCAGGTCTGTGCATCTGCCAAAGCCTGTTCGTATTCTGTTAGCCATCTTCCATACTTTATGCGGAAAGTCAAATCCCGTGGGCCTCTTGTTGGTGTTTATCAGGTTATGGATATTAGGTGGAACGGATTGCATCCATGTTCATGACCATTAATTCCCTAGAATGAAATTTTATGATTGCAGGATTTGTGCGGATCTTATTTCCGGGTGTTGGGTCCTTAGTCTGGATAGGCCCTCGTCAGCCATGTCTTTGTGGATGGGCAGCTATCTGTTTTCGATGATCTTTCTACATTCACAAAGAACAGCATCCTGTCTTTGGAGACGCAGGGGGGCGATGTGGCACAACGTAGGGAGCCAATAAGTCAGAGTGGGCTTAATACTGTTAGATAATTTATTGATAGTGCGACTGGGTTCTGTTCTCTCTTAACCATTTTAAATTAGCCCTGGCCTCTGTTCTATCAGGTCTTTGGCTTGGCATCCCAGAAGGCTCTGTAGTCTGGCTAAGTGCTGTAGTTTTCCAAGCAAGAGTGGATTCACCAATGCACTTTGCCCTAGAAAGAATAGTTTATATTTTCCATGTCTGTGGTACTAGCTCCAGAGCCTAAACACAGATTACCAGGCTCCTGAGTATCCTTGACGTAGTATGTCTAGAGCCACACTGACCCACTGATAATATACAGATTGCCACTTATTTATATCTTCGATTTCTTTCAAGAACAGCTCTGACAGAACTATGGCTTGCCCAAGGTCATCCAGCAGCTGCAAGTGGAGGCGTGGGGGATCAAACTTGGTTCTCCCAGATTACAGTCCACACACTTAACCACTATAACCATTTGGAGAGGCACCATAGTAGTCTGGGGCTTCATGCCCTCACAAATAATAATAACAACAGGCAAAGCTCACGCCTGCTGTGTATGAGGGGCTGGATTTGTCAAACACGTCAAATGTTAGTCACGGGTTTAATTGACGGCTATATTGGCTTCTTTTGATGGCAAAAGGTATTTAATGTTTGGATTTTGGTTGTTGTTGTCTGCCCGTCACCCAGCCCTAGAAAGAATAGTTTATATTTTCCATGTCTGTGGTACTAGCTCCAGAGCCTAAACACAGATTACCAGGCTCCTGAGTATCCTTGACGTAGTATGTCTAGAGCCACACTGACCCACTGATAATATACAGATTGCCACTTATTTATATCTTCGATTTCTTTCAAGAACAGCTCTGACAGAACTATGGCTTGCCCAAGGTCATCCAGCAGCTGCAAGTGGAGGCGTGGGGGATCAAACTTGGTTCTCCCAGATTACAGTCCACACACTTAACCACTATAACCATTTGGAGAGGCACCATAGTAGTCTGGGGCTTCATGCCCTCACAAATAATAATAACAACAGGCAAAGCTCACGCCTGCTGTGTATGAGGGGCTGGATTTGTCAAACACATCAAATGTTAGTCACGGGTTTAATTGACAGCTATATTGGCTTCTATTGATGGCAAAAGGTATTTAACGTTTGGATTCTCTTTTGGTTGTTGTTGTCTGCCCGTCACCCGCCTTATGGGTCAACCAGGGTATATCCTCTATAGAATTACAGTGCACTCTATTTAGGTATTTGCTTATTTATGTATGCTGCATACTAGAATGTTATATGTTTAAAAGTTTCTGCATTATGGTGTTAAAGATTCAATAAATAGTTTCTAAGGTAAAGCCACTGCCTTGGTTGTCTCTGTGAAAACTCTTTTGGCAGTCTCAATCCAGCCCATAGAACGTTAGTGGTGGTCCCAGGCCATTTCCTGGACCTTGAAATCCCCCAATAAATACATCCAGTGAAGGTTCTCGTTGTTGTATTGAGTTGGACATCAAGTTTGTGGACATGAGCCACACTGAAGCACCATATTCTGCAGTACTACACACCAACCCCAAAGCTGAGCATCTGAGGGTAGCTGAGCCAAATATCACATTGTAGACTCTGTCACATGAGAGCATGATAGGAGCTCCCCAGTCACCAGATTAAGCGTGAAAACGTACAAAAAACTGTATATGAAATTTACATTGTGAAATAATGCTTGCAGCACTTTATTTGTTTGAAGATAAGAAAACAGACGACAAACCTGAAGAAGGATTCGTAAACGGACTTATACTAGATATCCGTTGTTTGTCTAAAATTATACTGTAGTGTCTCATATGTACTGTCAAGCCTAAGATTGCATTTAATTTGTTATAGTTGTAATTTTGCTGACAATTTAATTTCAAAAGCATTATATAAAAATATTTGCTTATAGTGTATACTCATACACGGTGATTTATTGTTTTGCTGGCTACTCAGAAGACGCTGGCTGTGATGACTGGCTCCCTCAGCGAACCTGGGCTGCCATTGGCTGGGTGGCTGGGAGGGGAGGGAGCCAGGCATGAAGCTTATATTGTATACTCATACACGGTGATTTATTGTTTTGCTGGTTACATTACACCGTGGTCTTGTTTGTTATAAGAGCATCTAAGTGTAGCAGACACACCCCAAGTTGTACCACATCATTTTTGGAGGACGTTGTTTCACGTGCGTATTTTTGCGGCTACATTGGTAAGATGGTGTTTCTAACTCAAGGTCCTGTCCAGGGTAATGCCAAGGTACTTAGGTGTATGGCTGTGTGTAAGTTGGGTGCCATTAAGGTAGACGTTCAGTTCACGGTTGGCAAGATTGTTTTTAAGATGGAAAGAAGAACATTCTGTTTTTCCTGGACTTGGAATGAGCCGCCATTTATGGTAGTAGTCAGCCAAAATTTCGAGTATTTCCTCAGTCCTTTCAATTGATTTGTGCCTTACTGCAGTCTTACTGTTACTTACTCTTACTGTTCAGAGAAAGTCAAGGACGAAGTTTCCTCAAAGCCTGAGGCTTGTAAAACTAGGCCAAAATCTGGGATGAGCCAAGAGGGACGTCCACAGAAGACCTCTTCAGAGTACATAGAGGATTTCTTTGGCCATGCTACAGTTAAATCCGAAGAGGAGCTTGGGTACTTTGAAGACCAAGGTGAGAGAAATTTCCTGTATGACAAATTTAAGGGAAACGCTGCTTAGACATGCTACCTTGATAGATCATTATGATCACAATCTTTATTGCATCAGCAAATAAGCCATAGCAACAAGCACAACAATTCCATTAAAATTAAACAAAAAAAGATTTTTCATTAAAAATTAAACTACATTGTAATCATTAAGGGTATGTCAAGAGAAAACCATGATAATGCATCTTCCATAATGATCTAGAGTAGAGCAATTAATCTGCAGGTCATCCATCCTTACAGCAACGTGTCTTATTTTCATCTTTATCGTTAGATAGACAGATGATTGCAGTTGGAAGTTTGTACAGGGGGAGGCAGTCCTTTATATGTGTGTTTCCACTGAATCATTTTAAGAGCAGGTGTTCCATGTTCAGATGAATGTGCATCATTTAACCATTTTGCACTCATTAAAGCTCTTTTGTGGATAGACACATAGGCATGGCCAGTGTGCACGTACTATGTAGCTATCCAATGGTGATGTCACCCTGTTAACATTTTTCCACCCACCATCACAAGTGGCAGCCAGTGAAGCAGAGCAGGAGGGCCGGGAGATTAATACCTGTCACTGGTGGGTTGCCAGGTTGGGGAAGGGCTGTAATTTGGTGGTCGAGGACATGCTTAGGATGTAGAAGGTCCACGGTTCAATTCTTGGCATTTCCCACTAACCAGATCTTGGACAGTAGATACTGGGACAGAACCTTGCTTGAAACCTTGGAGATCTCCTGCCAGTGCCAACCGACTGTACTGGGCCAGGTAGATCAGTGGCCTGTCTGGTGTAGTGGTTAAGTGCGCGGACTCTAATCTGGGAGAATCGGGTTTGATTCCCCACTCCTCCACTTGCACCTGGCTGGATGGCCTTGGGCAAGCCGTAGCTCTGGCACAGCTGTTCTTGGGAAAAGAGCAGTTTCTGTCAAGAGCTCTCTGAGCCCCACCAACCTTACATGGTGTCTGTTGTGGGGAGGGGAAGGGAGTTTGTAAGCCGCTCTGAGACACCTTTGGGTAGTGAAGGGCGGGGTATAAATCCAACCTCCTCCTCCTCCTGTCTTTTGGTCTTGGGTTCAGCCTCCTTAACAGGGCTTTGGGTGGCAGGAAAGGTCTTTCTCTACCTGACCTTGGGGAGCCACTGCCGGTCCAAGTGGGTTCTTCTCAGCTTGGTGTGACAAACGGCTTAACTCCTATTTTTCTTGTCACTGTTAGGTGAGGGGTGTGTGATTGACCACAGAAATGGAAATTGCCATTGGGAAGCCTCCAAGCAAGGGAAGCTGCCAATGTCTGATGGAACAGCCAGAAGGAATGTTTCCAAAAGTCCTGACGCTGCTAGAAGTCCACATGGGCCATGGGGGAAGGGGGTAAACAACTTGAAGAAGGGAGAGGGTGAATCTACTTCTTGCCGGGAAAGTGGAATTGCAGACCAGGAAGGAATCTGCGAAAGTGGGAGACAGTTGGCATTAACGCAGTGGGACGACAGCTCAGACCTCACTGCAAATGGTGGCACCCAGACAGAGGAGAAAATATACCAGTGCTTATATTGCGGGAAGTCCTTCAATGCTCACTTTAAACTCGTTAGACATCACCGTATCCACACAGGAGAGAAACCATACAAATGTTTGGATTGTGGTAAGAGCTTCGACCAGAAGGGAAACCTGATTGCCCACGGAAGAATCCACACAGGAGAGAAACCATACGCATGCTCCGATTGTGGGAAAAGGTTCAGTCATAAAGGGAGCCTTGTTTTGCATGTGAGAATCCACACTGGAGAGAAGCCCTACAAGTGCCCTGATTGTGGGAAAAGCTTCAGTCGGTCAGGGTCCCTTAAAGAACATGAGAAAACCCACACGGGAGAGAGGCCGTATACCTGTTTAGATTGTGGGAGGAGCTTCCGGAAAATCTCCGAGCTCACAACACATCACAGATTCCACACGGGAGAGAAACCATATAAATGTTTGGGCTGTGAAAAATCCTTTAGTACAAGCTCTAATCTCATTGCTCATCAGAGAACCCACACAGGAGAGAAACCATATAAGTGTTCCGAGTGCGGGAAGAGATTCAGCCAGGCTGGAAACCTGAAGGAACACGAGAGAACGCACACTGGCGAGAAACCCTATAAATGCCCGGAATGTGGGAAAAGCTTCAGACAAATCTCTTACTTCATTAAACATCATCAATTACATCTTGCTGATGAGGGAGTGCGCATGGAAGAAAAACCGCACAAGTGTACCGATTGCGGGAAAGGTTTCGGTGAGAAAGCAAGCCTCATCAGACACCAGAGAATCCACACGGGAGAGAAACCCTTCCAGTGCTCAGACTGTGGGAAAAGCTTCTGTTTGAAGTCCAACCTTGTTGTACATGTGAGAATCCATACAGGGGAGAAACCATACAAATGCTTGGAGTGTGGGAAAAGCTTCAACCAGACATCGAGTCTTCATAACCATGAGAGGACTCACAAAGGGGAGGAGCCTTATAAATGCTTAGTATGTGGGAAAAGCTTCAACCGGCCATCGCAGCTTAAAGCCCATGAGAGAATCCACACCGGAGAGAAGCCATACAAGTGCTCAGAGTGTGGGAAGGGCTTTATTTACAACCATCACCTTGTCAGACATCGGAGAAATCATACTGGAGAGAAGCCATTTCAATGCTCCGAGTGTGGGAAAGGATTTGGTCTGAAATCGACTCTTATTAAGCACCAAGACATTCACATAAGAGAGAAACCATAGCAGAGCTTCCACTAGATCTAGTTAAACACATGAGAAACTATGCCAGTGTCAGGACGTGAACTCACAGCAAGTCCTGACTGTGGGTCATGGGACGTCAAGAGGGGGATTCAGCCTGTGTTGCCATTATGTGCAGAGATGAAAATGCGGGGGGACCAGTCAGACCAGCTCAAACATCTCTTAACCACAATAGGCTAGAGAGGGTCAGGTGATATAATTTGATCTATAAATACAGTTTCCAGGTCAAATATTCCCAGAAAGCACCATTCTGATTTGCAGAAGCATACAGAAACCTCTGCCAGTTTTTAGATAAGCTGCTTTTTTTTGCAAAGTGGCTAGACTTGCTTAGTTAGCATGCCGAAGATCCATAGGATGGATTGGGTGTTGCTCTATAAAGTAAAAAAAGTGTGCATGAAGAGGTGTGCGTGCACACGAAAGCTTATACGCAGAATTAAACTTTGTTGGTCTTAAAGGTCAGCCAATATCATAATGCCCCTCTATAAATCAATGGTGCGACCTCATCTGGAATACTGTGTGCAGTTCTGGTCACCACACCTTAAAAAGGATATTATAGCTTTGGAAAAAGTGCAGAAAAGGGCAACTCGAATGATAAAAGGGTTGGAACACTTTCCCTATGAGGAAAGGTTAAAGCACTTAGGGCTCTTTAGCTTGGAGAAAAGACGACTGAGGGGTGACGTGATTGAGGTTTACAAGATTATGCATGGGAAAGAGCAGGTAGAGAAAGAGGTACTTTTCTCCCTTTCTCACAATACAAGAACTCGTGGACACTCCATGAAATTGCTGAGCGGCCGGGTTAGAACGGATAAAAGGAAGTACTTCTTCACCCAAAGAGTGATTAACACTTGGAATTCACTGCCACAGGAGGTGGTGGTGGCTACAAGCATGGACGGCTTCAAAAGGGAATTACATAGGCATATGGAGCAGAGGTCCATCAGTGGCTATTAGCCACAAGGTATAGAGAGGGACTCTGGGGCAAGTGATGCTCTGTCTTCTTGGTGCTTGGGGGGGGGCAACAGTGGGAGGGCTTCTAACGTCCTGGCCCCACTGGTGGACCTCCTGATGGCACCTGGTATTTCTGGCCACTGTGTGATAAAGAGTGTTGGACTGGATGGGCTTTTGGCCTGATCCAACATTGGCCTCTCTTATGTTCTTAAAGGTGCCACCGGACTCAAACTTTGTTGTTACCCATTTGGCAAGATTTGAGTCTGGTAGCACCTTAAAGACCAACTAGATTTCTGGGGTGTCAGCTTTCGAGAGTCAAAGTTCTCTTTGCCCCTCCTGGACAAAGTCCACTAAAGTGCTGCTGAACTCCAATCTTGATCTTCTACTGCAAATCAACATGGTCACCTGTGTGGCCAGTTTGGTGTAGCGGTTAGGAGCGCGGACTCTAATCTGGGAGAACCGGGTTTGGTTCCCCACTCCTCCACATGCAGCTGCTGGTGTGACCTTGGGTCAGTCATAAGTTCTTTCAGAGCTGTTCTCTCAAGGGCAGTTCTCAAAAGTGCTCTCTCAGCCCCACCTACCTCACAGGGTGTGTCTTGTGGGGAGGGGAAGGAGTTTGTAAGCCACTCTGAGACTCCAAGTCCAAGGGAAGGGAAGGGCATAAATCCAGTCTCTTCTTCTTCTTCTTCTTCCCATTGGAAACTGTTCCATGAGCTAGAGATTTGTTCTCCACAGTGCGTTGTTATTTAAGGGCTGCAGAAGCCCGTGGGAGTAAAGAGCAATGAACTGGATTAATGTGACTCGTGAATCCATTTATACCCAAGAGTCAGGCCATCTGCCTTCCTGTTTTGCCTGCCTATCAGCCGCTCTCCAGCATCTCTGGCAGAGAAAAGGCCCTTCCCAACACCCAAGATCCTTTTTAACAGGAGCTGACTGACCTGGATAGCTCAGCCTTGTCCTGGATGGCCCAGTCTAGACCAATCCAGCCCTGTAGCCAGGATTTTGTGGCTTGGGGGGGGGAAACATTTTTCTGGTAGGGCTGGTAGGGCTGCCATTATTTGCCATTATTTTTCTGTCTGTCTCTAAACAACTGTACTTTTAAGTAATAATGAAGACAGTAATACTAACACTAAATTAAAGGCACTCAGGCAGGGCTCTTTTTGTAGCAGGAACTCCTTTGCATATTAGGCGACATACCCCTAATGTAGCCAATCCTCCAAGAACTTACAGTAGCCCCTGTAAGAAGAGCTCTGTAAACTCTTGGAGGATTGGCTACATTAGGGGTATGTCGCCTAATATGCAAAGGAG